ACCCCGCCTGGCCCAAGTTGTATTTCTTTAAGACTGTCTACAAAGAAACAACAAAGCTTCCCCATAATATCAAAAGGTATGTTTTAATAGTTCTAAGCGATCATGATTAAGTAAAATTTTAAATGCTTTATGTTAAAAAAAATTGTTTTAATTACTTTGGACCCTAAATTGCTTAAAATTTTTTTTAAAAAGTAAAAAATGCTTTATGTATTAGACACAACAATATAATTACTAAAATTACTGGAGAAACACGGTTAAAATTTAAAACTATCCTTATTAGAGCAAGGTGATTTTATCTACCAATATTGTATTAATATGTGTCTGCTCACTTTACTCTGGTAACTTCACTTTGAATTCAACTGTTAGAGACCACCAAGACCCTCTATCTTAACTCTCTCATAGGTGTGCTGTGTGAGTTAATTCCAACAATTCTAATATTAGCCTGTACTGTTTTGTTAAAGTTCCTGCGTGGCAATGACCCCTGATCAAGGCATGAAAAATACTGATTGAATGGTGGTGTTTTGTATTTGTGGGTCGGGGGACATTCAGGTGGTTTACTATCAGCATTGTTTAATGTGATTGATGAGTTGCACTTGGTCTCAATGAAGCTCTTCCTCTGACCTCCACTGAAGAGGCTAGAGAACAGGAACATGTCCGCTTGACAAGAAAAGTATTAAAAAGCCCAGTGAAGACTCTATTTTGGGCTCCTACGTTCCAAGGTGTCCTGTGCACACATCCTGCTCTGAGAGAGAAAATGCACCCCATCACAGACTTTACACAACAAAGGACAACTGGAACTTGCACCCGAACTCTCTGGATGACTTGCTATGACAGTCTTTGACTGTGATGCATATCCTTACTATAATCCTGCTACTGGATTGTATCCTTTTCCTGTAATAAACTGTAGATGCATAATCATTGCCATTCTAGGCCCTGTGAGTCTTCTTTGGCAGTCAAACCCTTTTTCACTGCCTCTGTCAGTGCAATAGGCCTTAACTCTAACATTCATTTCCAAAAAGCAAAAATTTCTAACCTGTTACATGTCTCTTGGCTTCTGCCATGAAGTTAAGAGTCAATACAAACCTGTTATTAGAAGTCTGGGCCAGGCGCGGTGGCTCACGCCTATAATCTCAGCACTTTGGGAGGCCAAGGCAAGTGGATCACAAGGTCAGGAGATCGAGACCATCCCGGCTAATAAGGTGAAACCCTGTCTCTACTAAAAATACAAAAATTAGCCAGGCATGGTGGCGGGCGCCTGAAGTCCCAGCTACTCGGGAGACTGAGGGAGGAGAATAGTATGAACCTGGGAGGTGGAGCTTGCAGTGAGCTGAGACTGCACTCCAGCCTGGGCAACAGAGTGAGACTCCGTCAAGAAACAGAGAAAGAGAGAAAGAAAGAAACAAAGAAACAGAGAGAGAGAGAGAAAGAAAGAAGGAAAGAAAGGAAAGGAGGAGAGGAGAGAAGAGGAGAGGAGGAAAAGAAAAAAGAAGGAAAGAAAGAAATCTGAACGTGGCTAGGTTCTGTGGCTCACGCCTGTACTCCCAGCACTTTGGAAGGCC